TTCAATCTTATCCACGGAATACAAATAATCTCAAACAATCTTTGTGAATGGTACGAGAATTTGCATACAACACCAAATCTCGAAAGAGAAGTGCTTGGGGGTGGGCGATTGTTTTAGCTGCAAATTGCTCGATATTTTCATCAACAGTTTTTGCACAAACAAATACGAAGCAGGTGAGCTCCGATTATATGGTCACCAAAATTTCATGCCCTTGGTTGTAGAAGTAGACAGTTAATGGGCCGGGCCAGTTTTGGTTCGAAATAGCTGTTCAGGTTCCAGCTTTTTGTTAAATCGGATTTGGTCTTGATTGACATATTATAAGTTAAAATATCAATGAAGTTGAAATATTTTCGGTTAAGAAGCGATATTTAAACTTATAATATGTCAATTAAGTTGTCTGTTTATACCTTAAATTGAGAATCAAAATCCTCGTTGTTGATTTACCTTTACTTGATTTGATGAAAGAAGATGACATGATGTGTTGAACGATATAGTAAATATAGGTGTAATCGTGGTTGTGTTTAGTTCCGCTAGTTCGAGTACTACTACTAAAATCATCTGGCTCTTCATCATTCCATTAAGTTAATATGGCCATTTATGCCACTCTTTCGGCCTTCTTTCAATCAATCAACAACATTTGAGCCTCTAAGTTTTGTAGCGTTAACGTCTCGGTCGTCTTACGTCTAGAGTAAATCCTCCTTCGCTAAATACTTGTTCAACTGCCATAATTAAGGCCGGGATAACGAAAATCCCCTTAGCAATTAAGTATGGAACACAATAAGTGGTCTTCATAGATTGGACAATAAATATATGAGGAACGGTTTTTTAACTGAACCACTTAGGTGAACTCTATCGTGTTCGTATCTGAACCATGTTACTATGGTTTATGTAAAATTTAAAAAATGACTAAAAATAATGAGGAAACCAACAAAAATAAAGTGGAGGTATGTACACTCTTCTTAAGATGAAATTGCAACTTAAATAAAGTGGAGGTATGTACATTCAAGATAATAGTAACTTGCAACTTTGCATAGTGTTATTACCAATGACTACAAATATGCAAGCCTCCTTCGAAAGAAAGGTCCTGAAAGTAGTGACTCGTAAGACTACTTTTATCTGACAAAATTGAAGTAAAACATAATACCACAGGTTCCTAGCAGGGAGTCTCATAAAGTCAGCCGTGAGTTCGAACAACCAATCAACGAGTCCTGCCCAGTGTCAAACACCAACATTCAGCCTAGCGCACGTAAAGCACTAGCTGTCTAGCGCACGGCTGGCTGGCCCAACCGATCTCATCCGCTTCCAAATTTAGTTTAAAATTAATTTTTCTACATTTATGATCATTGTTTACTTATATTTGGGGAGGTGTATTCAATGGACATTCTTACAATTTTCTAGAACTTTTTAAAGAGGAAATTACACCCCTTACTACAAGATATGATTTATATTACAATTTTAAACCTATTATATTCTTATTTATAATATTACTAAACCAAACCAAAATTATTGAAATTATACCTAAGAGTTATCCATGTAACTGTTATATGGGAATATGGGGATAATTACTGATTTTTTGGACTAATTAAATGCTCACTACAAATCCCACATGAATATAATCTCTCTGTAAAAAAACCACCCAATTGCCCCACGTTCGCCATCTCTATCTCACCATCCACGCGACAGACACCTCCTCCAATCCCCCTTCCACCGCCGCATCCACCTTCGCCTCACTCAAGCACCGCCGCCCCGCAGACGAGAACATCCGCGACGAGGCCCGCCACCATGCCTCGTCCCACAGCTTCTCTGCGAAATACGTCCCCTTCAACACCGCTGAAAAAAGTGAAAAGTCGCGAGGAGGATGATCATGGTCCGAGAGAAGATTTTGAGAAAAATGCTTCATGGGTTTACCCTTTTTTTTTTTTCAGAATTTTCATTGTTTATTTGTTTGGTTTTCATTTAATTTCTGTATTTGATGGAAAATTGTAAATAACTTGAATTTTGTTTGCTTTCGTGTCAGATGCGAGCATTATAGGAGACGGTGCAAAATCAGAGCCCCTTGTTGCGACTGAGGGAGAAGAGGAATATCTTCCGGATGATAATTTCCTCAATTACTGTCGGCGTACTCTAAAGATGGTTTCGGCGTCGCCATGAAATGGGGAAGATGATGGGTTGGTTGCAGGAAAATTGAATTTTCTTCGATTTTTAGGGTATGTGGACTGTGTGTAGATCATTTAGTACATTGAAATTCGCAAACTTTGGATTAGAGTATATGTACAGTATATCTACAGTATATGCACAGTATATGTTGCGTGTATAGGCATGTAGTATATGTTGTGTGTATAGACAGACTGTATATGTGGTGTGTATAGGGAGTATATGTCAGTATATTAGAAGGTTTTTTTTGTAAACTGTTTAGTGTGTATAGGGGAGTATATGTTCAATATATTAGAAGATATGTTTGTACATGGGATATAAGTAACATATTATAATATGTTTATAAACTATATATATATACTTTTATGTATAAAAGTTTTTTTTAAAAAAAGGAAGACATGTTTTTCATTACAACATATACTGAATATTTACTAACATATACACAATATATATCACCTGACAGCTGCGTGAATTAATGAATTAAATGAATGAGTCAATTATTTATTTTCAACGCATAAAAAAGGGGATNAAGAGATCATGCCCTATAAATATGGAAGGGAGGTGTCACCTATATGTAACTGATTTTTGTTCTTTTCTTTTGCTAACTACGCGGAGATCATGCCCTATAAATATGGAAAGTAGCTGCCACCTATTTGTAACTGATTTTTAGGCATGTATGTAATTAATTATTATCTATTAGGTAAATACACAATTAAATTGTTATCAATGGTATTATTACAATAATTTTCCAATCGTGTGGAATGCATCAAAATATCCCCTTTTTAAATTGGTGATTTTTGGTGGACTTTGTAAAACTTTCATGACTTTGATGGACTTTTTGAGATTTTCAGAAAATCTTCATTAGAGATTTTTTAAGACTTTCAAAATGACTTTCTAAAACTTAACTATTATGTTTGCATGAAATGATCATTAACGTAGCATAATAAATAATATCAACAAGAATAAATAAATAAAAAATAGGTTTTGTATATTAATCCCAAAAAAAATATGAATTAAAATATGAATCAACCCATTGTTATGCGGAATGAGTTATTCACAAGAAAATTTTTTAGGGTTTTAGATTTATTTAACGCCCAGATCATTCCGAGCTCTCACGAGCTTCAACGAGTCGAACTCGAGCAGAGCCTTTGTTTAGGGGTTTTAGCAAATCGATCCGAGCTTTCACGAACTTCAACGATTCGAACTCGAGCAGAGGCTTACATTTGTTAATTAAATGAGGACAATCTCAAATATATGCTAGACATCTCTGTTACTATAACATATATAATCAACCCAAATCAAGATATTTATCTAATTATTGATTAATTTTATTTTTTATATTTTTTTGCATCACGTTGAAATATTAACAAAATATTATTAAGATATATTTTTACAAGACATAAACATAATCGAAAGACAATAACTGTATCTTCTAAAGTTATCAGTAATACTCAAAATAATTCGATATCAACAAATAAACTATTAGCAAATAAAATAAATGTTTTAGTATTTAAAAATAGACATTTACAAATAAAATTATAGAACAAATAAATTATTTACAAGTGTAAACTATACAAGGATATAAGATATAAAGTCGTGTTAGAGAGTTACAAGAGAGTAACATAAGTCCAACAAAATCTCACCAACTTGATGAGATTTCTGCTAGGACTTTGTATTTGTAATTTTGTTACAAAAGTCTCACAATTTAAAAAGTCTCGTAAAGTCTTCTTACTTTGAATATCGAGTGACTTATAGAGAGACTCCCAAAAAATTTTAATTGAATATTTTAGAGACTTTTAGAAACTGATAGAAAGTCTTTAAAAGTCTTAATTTAATACATCAAAATTCAAAAAATCTTTAAAGGTTTAAACTGAATACAGTCACAAATTTGAATATCCAGTGAAGATTAGTCCGAATTGGGAATTCAACATGGTGTGAAACACAGCACATATGTGGTTGCACAGTTTGACCTGCATTCATTGTTTCATCCTTGTTCACTACATACTCAGCTCAATTACTCCATACTCGGAATTTCAACAACTCCCCAAATTTCACACACACAATCCAAATTCAACAGC